TGAATCTAGACGCTCTGAGTCACTGTACTCATCTACTGTAATAGAAACACTCTACATTAGAAAACCGAAGCTCTTCCCCTCGCTAAATCTAAGCAAACCACACCTTTACGATAGACAATTTGGAGTCCCCAGCTATCACAAAATACGATCGTCTACGACCCAGCATACCAGAACGGATCGAGCATGCGGCAGGTGCAACTTGACAACGCGAACTCCTCGACAGGAAACCGCACTAAGAGATATGCTGTCGCTATTCAATGTTGAATGTAATGGACTTGAATCATGAGCAAAATAACGATAAAAAATATACATGTAAATTCATAACTAACCACCAAAGCCATAGAGAGTCTTTCCTTGCCTCTTCAACGCATACACCACATCAAGGGCCGTCACCGTCTTCCTCCTAGCATGCTCAGTGTATGTAACCGTATCCTTGATAACGCTCTCGAGAAAGACCTTCAGGACGCCCCGAGTTTCCTCGTAGATGAGGCCTGATATGCGCTTCACTCCACCACGACGTGCCAGTCTTCGGATGGCCGGCTTGGTGATACCCTGGATGTTATCACGCAGAACTTTACGATGACGCTTAGCTCCGCCTTTGCCAAGACCTTTGCCTCCTTTACCGCGGCCGGACATGTGATACTTTACTGAACAACAACAGAACCCGGGTTCAATCCCAACGCAATGCATTTTCACCGACATCATTAAAAACGTACTAAATACTGGGCGTCACCACACATCCACTGTGTGGAACTCGTTAACCCGACTGACAGCATCAAGCTGATGACTGCTGTCTGCGGCTAAACTTCGGCAACTTGCACTCACAATGTCTATCATTCATACATAACCGAATACATCGTTTCGTACGCATGAACATACTGTATATGGCGAGCGAGAAGATAAAACGTCTCTGTGAGCAAAATTCAATGACAGTTCGCGAGGTTAGAGTTTTAACCATTAGGTTCGTCGAGCTTCGGGGGTTGGTGGAAGAGGCCCTCGAATATACCTACCTGGCAAACCACCCATAACCTCTTACCTCCTACAAGCTAAGCTACTAGCAATACTTTCCCTTCCTTCCCCCTTTTCAACTCCAATACGATTCCTGAATCGAAGTCACTATTCGCGGTTCATCAGACTGGTGAACATGGTAGCATTATATAGCAAAGTTGATAAGGTGCTAGATTTTATGATGCAACCTCTATCATACAATGATTCATCGTCTATGTAACTTAGCCATCAGGAAATGATTCTCGACCGCTAACTAAAGAAAAGTTAACTAAACTATTAACTCCGATCGCTAAATTTGACTCGGTTATGTGAGAGCGTTACATGGCAAGACAGGCGATCCGATAGAGAACTGCCAACGCAACTCCAATCAAGACTTAGAGACTATCAACGTATAGTCATTATTTGTAAGTGAAAGATTTTGTAGGTTTGGACCAAATAAGGTCGCATGGAAACATTCATTAACTGACAGGGGATGGTTCGAAGGACCCTCAGGAGTTGCGAGCCGCAACCCTAGCGGAACGTAACAAATAGTCTACTATACGCATATGATGCACGAATTAATTAACCAACACTCCCACCGCAATCACCAATGCGGTCAGCGTAGAGCCGATGCCTGCGGCTCCATTGAAGTTAGGTACTGTGATAGTGATCGGCGGTCGAGTAGAAGAGGTAGACCTCGGGATCGACGTGGTAAGCGTGGAAGTCGAAGGGGCACTGGTCGTCCCAGTTGTCGAGGTGACACTTGTCGTCATAGTTGTCGAAGTGGAAGTCGACGACGACGACGTGAGTGGAGGGGTGATGGTACAGTTCGCTGGCCATGGCTCGCACGTACAGGACGCAGTTGTGGTGGATACAGTTGCACTAGTCGTAGCTTTCGTGGAAGTACGAGGATTCGTGGAGCTAGATCCCGTCGTGGAAAATGATGGCGTAGTTTGTACCATAGTAGAGGCATTAACTGGAGTCGCATACGATCCAGTTGTAGACCCAACTGTAGTAGAGGCCGCAGTCGTAGCAGCTGTAGACCCAGCTATAGTGAAGGCCGTAGTCGCAGCAGTTGTAGATCCAGCTGTAGTAGAGGCTGGAGTCGTAACATTAGCTGGAGTCGTGGACGAAGCGGTCGTAGGCTTAGTTGAAGTGAGTGGAGGTAAAGTCGTGCGACACTGTATAGGTATAGGCGGGCATTCACAACGACCCGTTGTGTGTGCAGGAGTACTGGAGAATGTGCTCGACGACGGCGAAGTTGGAGTAGTGTGTGGCCCTCGCGTAGTAGTAGTGACTTTGCTCGCCGTAGTAGATGCTGGGCTAGAGGAGCTTCCGATGGTTGTGAGAGGCCTACCAGATGTGGGTGTCTGAGGCGAACCACAGGGAACAGGCACACCATCACACAATCCGGTCGTGAGGTTGCACTTGCTGTCAGGTTTGCGAGTCACAGCTGCACAGTAGTCATCCCAGGCGGATTGGTCGAGATCAGTATTAACCCCTTGAGATAGCACCAGGGACAACGCTGAAGCGTAGAGAATACACAGACGAGTGGCCATCGGGACAGTTGACGATAGAAATGTATGTGTGGAAAGTGATGAGCAAGCTTCCAACTCGGAACTGCTTTTTTGCTTGCACGCGTGCACTCGTGGCGGTTTCATCTCGGATTTCGGCGTCCTACTTCGCTTTCGCATTGATCCGACAATATCTTCACCCTGGTCGACTTCACATCACCCCTCTGTGAGTATACTACGTACCCTGTTGCATTGAACAAGCATTTTACAATGGTTATCATCACAAGCAGTGAGGATTTGTCTCCGCCTGCACGAAAAACGGCTCGGCGCGCTCTAAAGGCCGGTGGATTCAAGGAGGATCCCGAGGCCTAGTTCGATAACGCTACCATCGTTGCTGCGTCCAGGAGCGTCACGTTTGAGGAAAAACCAAAGCGGAAACCTTCGACATGACATACAGTACATAGCATGCATCGTAGCTCGTGAGTGAAACGTCATGGATTGGTCAGCAGACTCCGCAGAGACCTTCAATTAGCGAAAGTCGCACGTAAGCATTAGCAAGCCGAGCATCGTGATTGCCTGCATGCAGTACTTGCTATTCCGAACGATCTCCGTAATGCACCCAACCACGATAGCTGCACTGGTGTCATTTACAGTGGCGGGAGTAGCCACGCATCGGGAGCTACAAAGAATGCTCGAATGGGATCTCTACTGCAGAGCACTCAACGGTGCGACAAGCTTCTGTATCACGACTCAACTACTGGGTAATTTCTGTGCCTTCGGAAATGAGGTGTGTGGCAGCGGGAGCGTTCCGCCCTACACTACGTCCCTACCCACACCGCAACCGTTGACAACTTCAACTCCCACCACAACCACGCCTACTACTACCACTACGGCGACAACTCTTCCGCCCAGCGCATGGGATAGCCTCTGCAGAGAACTCAACGGTCCTTCAAGTTTCTGCCTCACAACAACCCTCTTGGGTACTTTCTGTGCCTTTGGCAATCAGCATTGTGGGGGCGTTGATTTCCCATCGATCACAACTACACTCGTAGCTACGTCTACGACGTCCACCCCTATGCATACGGCTACGATAACATCAGTCACAACCGTTCATGAGACGCCCACCTCATTGCGATCTACAACTTCGCCAGAAATAACTCTAGACTTTCGTCCTGTGTGTGATAGGATGTGTAAATACTTGAACGGCCCTGCCTCCTACTGTAAAGACTGGTCAGCCTCGCCTGTGTGTCAGTATGGCAACCAGCCGTGTGGGTCCCTCGCTGATTGTCAGCCGAGCAGTACTATCCTTTCTACTCCCACCACGGTTACTGCTATTATAACGACAACAACTACGCCTACTGCCTCCGGTATCCCTACGGTCGGTACCACTCCTACGATAACCACTTACACCGATACAGCCACGGTTACAGTCACGACAACGACCATCACTACTTCGTCAGAGACAACTACCGCAACTACTACCACCGCTACGACCACTATCCTTTCTATTAGTCCCCCAGCCACGATAGAGACTCAGCCAACATCTGCGACGCCTACCACTACTATTGCCGCATCAGCGACTCCTAACTGCGACCAGATGTGTAAAGAACTCAATGGGGCGTGGTCATACTGCAAATCCTGGGCTGTTTTCCCAGTCTGTCAAGGAGGCAATCAGCCTTGTGGTGATGACAGTTCCTGTAGTGCGAATTTTGGTGCTGACGGGACTAACTTGGAGGACTGCTCTTCTTTGTGCACCAGGCTTAATGGTCGCGGTTCATACTGCAAGATTTGGAAAGATCCTCCGACTTGTCAAGGTGGCGACCAACCCTGTGGCGATGTTCAGTGTAGATGATCTGTAGTCAGCAACATCTTGTTATGTCATTCATACCTTCCTCATCAGTGATGAGTCATCACTACGGTAATCCGATCTCAATGATCGTTGGTATTCACTATTTTGTTGATGCATGAAACTCATTAGTGTTCGACCTCAATCACTGAGTCGCGTTTCCAAGCGATCTATAGTTCGACGTGGAATTGCGATACTTACCTGATGTTAATTTTAACCGATTCATTTCGCACACGATACTCACAACTGCCTAATTCGACACCCACCTAACTCCCTCCCCGTTGTCAGTACGAATATATCTGTTGCATTGCGATTCGTAAGTTCGATATTATCCTCTTCACAGATTCAGACACAAATGTACTACCCGGTAGTAAGTCCGTTCGGGCGGTCCGCCCGAACAGTAACAAAGAGCCATTAGTGTCTGTAGGCTTGCGTCTCAGTTTGCCCACAAATTACAGCGGAGAAAAAACTGCATCGCAGTTTTTCCATAGGTGAAACCTCGACGGAGAGAGCTTGCCCACTTCGGGATAGTGCGGATCTCCCAGCGCTGAGGCGATCGAGAACTTGCCCGTTTCATTCGAGCATGGCCAGAGCGTGCCAGCCGCTACAAAGAACGCGAGCTATACTCGGGTCTTTGTTCATATTTTTTTTGCTCATCTTAGCATTGTCAGCTTACGGGTTCTTGCCATGATCCAAGTTGGTGACCCATAGTCTATGTGATGTGTCATAACAGTGCCCTTGCGGTCTACTGAGCGTGACATGAGTCAAGCCTCTCGACATTGTCCGGGCGGCATTTAATCATACCCCAAGAGACCTCGTCCCCCGGCAGTTCTCGCCGAGGGCCTTCTTCGTGAGTGGCCTTCCGATGATACCGCCTTCCCTCGTATTTATCGAGGCCGTCACCTTTCTCGCGTGGCACTTCCTCGGAGTGTGCCACCGTCGCGTCTTTCGCGAGGTGTCTCATAGAACGACTACGTCGCCCCTATGCAGAGTTCTTTCTTTTTCAAAAAGAATTCGTTTATTTCTTTTTCATTATTTCTTTCAAAAATTTTCAGAAAGAAACGGGAAAGAAATGAAAATAATTAAATTATATGCTACAATTTCTAGTTTGAAAAACCCAAGGAAGATAATTTAAAGGTATGAGAATGAAAATACAAGGCACCGCCTATCGGTGATGATTGATAGTCGAGATATTACGAGAAAATGCGACTTACGTAGACGTTATTGTTAAGTCCCGCGGTAAAGGTAACGGAGGAGGTGATACTAGAGGGTCATGAACAACTAGTCCTCAACAGAGAACAACCGGGCATCATTTCATGAGAACTGGGCGATTCTGATACAATACAAGTATACTGTATACTTGTATTGTATATATTATATACTGTATACACCTAGATTCTGTGAACTATAGAGTAGTGGATTGTTCGAACATGAATTTTTGAGACAGCGAAAGTCAGTGGAAAGAACGATTCGGCACACTGGTCTGCAACTGGGTTGACCACTGCATCGGCCAAGGTTCCGGAACAGTTGAATTAGTGCACAACCAGGTTCGAACATGTATTTTTGAGACAGCAAAAGTCAGTGGATAGAACGATTCGGCACACTGGTCTGAGACTAGCTTGATCATTGCATTGGCCAAGGTTCCGGAACAGTTGAGTCAATGCACAACTAAGTTCGAACATGTATTTTTGAGACAGCGAAAGTCAGTGGAAAGAACGATTCGGCACATTGGTCTGAAACTAGCTTAATCATTGCATCGGCCAAGGTTCCGGAACAGTTGAATTAGTGCACAACTAAGTTCGAAAATGTATTTTTGAGACAGCGAAAGTCAGTGGAAAGAACGATTCGGCACACTGGTCTGCAACTAGGTTGGTCATTGCATCGGCCAAGGTTCCGGAACAGTTGAGTTAGCGCACAACTAAGTTCGAACATGTATTTTTGAGACAGCAAAAGTCAGTGGATAGAACGATTCGGCATACTGGTCTGCAACTAGGTTGGCCATTGCATCGGCCAAGATTCCGGAAAAGTTGAGTTAGTTCACAACTAAGTTCAAACATGTATTTTCGAGACAGCGAAAGTCAGTGGAAAGAACGATTCGGCACATTGGTCTGAAACTAGCCTGATCATTGCATCGGCCAAGGTTCCGGAACAGTTGAGTTAGTGCACAACCAGGTTCGAACATGTATTTTTGAGACAGCAAGATTCAGTGGATAGAACGATTCGGCACACTGGTCTGAAACTAGCTTGACCATTGCATCGGTCAAGGCTCCGGAAAAGTTTAGTTAGTTCACAACTAAGTTCCAACATGTATTTTTGAGACAGCAAAAGTTAGTGGATAGAACGATTCGGCACACTGGTCTGAAACTAGCTTGATCATTGCATCGGCCAAGGTTCCGGAACAGTTGAATTAGTGCACAACTAAGTTCGAACATGTATTTTTGAGACAGCGAAGGTCAGTGGATAGAACGATTCGGCACACTGGTCTGAAAGTAGCTTGACCATTGCGTCGGCCAAGGTTCCGGAACAGTTGAGTTAGTGCACAACCAGGTTCGAACATGTATTTTTGAGACAGCAAGATTCAGTGGATAGAACGATTCGGCACACTGGTCTGAAACTAGCTTGACCATTGCATCGGTCAAGACTCCGGAACAGTTGAGTTAGTGCACAGCTAAGTTCGAACATGTATTTTTGAGACAGCAAAAGTCAGTGGATAGAACGATTCGGCACACTGGTCTGAAACTAGCTTGACCATTGCATCGGCCAAGGCTCCGGAACAGTTGAGTTAGTGCACAACTAAGTTCGAACATGTATTTTTGAGACACCAAAAGTCAGTGGATAGAACGATTCGGCACACTTATCTGAAACTAGCTTGACCATCGCATCGGCCAAGATTCCGGAAAAGTTGAGCTAGTTCACAACTAAGTTCGAACATGTATTTTTGAGACAGCAAAAGTCAGTGGATAGAACGATTCGGCACACTGGTCTGAAACTAGCTTGATCATTGCCTTGGCCAAGGTTCCGGAACACTTAAGTCAGTTCACAACTAAGTTCGAACATGTATTTTTGAGACAGCGAAAGTCAGTGGAAAGAACGATTCGGCACATTGGTCTGAAACTAGCTTGATCATTGCATCGGCCAAGGTTCCGGAACAGTTGAGTTAGCGCACAACTAAGTTCGAACATGTATTTTTGAGACAGCAAAAGTCAGTGGATAGAACGATTCGGCACACTGGTCTGCAACTAGGTTGGCCATTGCATCGGCCAAGGTTCCGGAACAGTTGAGTTAGTGCACAACTGAGTTCGAACATGTATTTTTGAGACAGCAAAAGTCAGTGGATAGAACGATTCGGCACACTGGTCTGAAACTAGCTTGACCATTGCATCGGCCAAGATTCCGGAAAAGTTTAGTTAGTTCACAACTAAGTTCGAACATGTATCTTTGAGACAGCAAAAGTTAGTGGATAGAACGATTCGGCACACTGGTCTGAAACTAGCTTGATCATTGCATCGGCCAAGGTTCCGGAACAGTTGAATTAGTGCACAACTAAGTTCGAACATGTATTTTTGAGACAGCGAAGGTCAGTGGATAGAACGATTCGGCACACTGGCCTGAAAGTAGCTTGAACATTGCGTCGGCCAAGGTTCCGGAACAGTTGAGTTAGTGCACAACCAGGTTCGAACATGTATTTTTGAGACAGCAAGATTCAGTGGATAGAACGATTCGGCACACTAGTCTGAAACTAGCTTGACCATTGCATCGGTCAAGGCTCCGGAACAGTTGAGTTAGTGCACAACTAAGTTCGAACATGTATTTTTGAGACAGCAAAAGTCAGTGGATAGAACGATTCGGCACACTGGTCTGCAACTAGCTTGGCCATTGCATCGGCCAAGGTTCCGGAACAGTTGAGTTAGTGCACAACTGAGTTCGAACATGTATTTTTGAGGCTACAAAAGTCAGTGGATAGAACGATTCGGCACACTGGTCTGAAACTAGCTTGACCATTGCATCGGCCAAGATTCCGGAAAAGTTTAGTTAGTCCACAACTAAGTTCGAACATGTATTTTTGAGACAGCAAAAGTCAGTGGAAAGAACGATTCGGCACATTGGTCTGAAACTAGCTTGATCATTGCATCGGCCAAGGTTCCGGAACAGTTGAGTTAGTGCACAACTAAGTTCGAACATGTATTTTTGAGACAGCAAAGGTCAGTGGATAGAACGATTCGGCACACTGATCTGAAACTAGCTTGACCATCGCATCGGCCAAGATTCCGGAAAAGTTGAGTTAGTTCACAACTAAGTTCGAACATGTATTTTTGAGACAGCAAAAGTCAGTGGATAGAACGATTCGGCACACTGGTCTGAAACTAGCTTGATCATTGCCTTGGCCAAGGTTCCGGAACAGTTAAGTCAGTGCACAACTAAGTTCAAACATGTATTTTCGAGACAGCGAAAGTCAGTGGAAAGAACGATTCGGCACATTGGTCTGAAACTAGCTTGATCATTGCATCGGCCAAGGTTCCGGAACAGTTGAGTTAGTGCACAACTAAGTTCGAACATGTATTTTTGAGACAGCGAAAGCCAGTGGAAAGAACGAATCGGCACACTGGTCTGCAACTGGGTTGACCATTGCATCGGTCAAGGTTCCGGCCACCGGCCTCTAAGAGACCGTCTCTCGTCTGGCCAAAGTTTGGCCGCCAAACCTTCAGACTGAAGGCTTCAGTAGCAGACTCAAGTAGGTTGAGTCAACTTACCTACCGGCAGTATTGGTTGACTTTTGTGTCATGTCATAGTCAACAGACCCGACCATTTTGTAAGACTAAAGCTCAAAATACCCGAAAAACTGAATTCTTTTCAATTCCTTTCAATTATTTCTAGAAACAATCGAACTAATATTTCTTCGTATTCTTTTCGAAAAGAAATACATAGAAAGAAATAAAAAGAAATAATTAGGGAGAACCCTGCCCCTATGCGATAGGGTTTCGCTGTGGGCCGTTCCTCGAAGCCCCCGGTTTCCGTGCTGTGGAGACTTTAGCGACCTCATCGAGGTGTTGGCTGTGGCTGCCGGTGATCAATCGCCAGCTTGTCCACCTCGTGCGCTTTAGAGCCCCCGGCCGGCCATTGTCCCGGGACAGCATCCCTGGGCGTCGCTCGTGGGCGAATCTTCTGAGCGAGTGCTCCTCCCGCAGCTAGCCTCGGATTGGGTGGTTCAATGTGTGTCCCACCTCCTGCAGGTCTCCCTTGTTCATCTTATGTCTCGAGGATCGAGGCTGTCGTTCGTCGATTCGACAGGACCTCCGTCGAGCTTTAGTCTTCTCTCGCTAGTTTCCTCTGTCAGTTGTCCTTCATCCTCCCGATGTCCATCGCCGCGGTACTCTCCGCCATTTGTCCTGACACTACCGTCGTCGAGACTTTCACCGTTAGCCTGGTCGAGAATGGTATTGCAACTCTCAGGCTCCTTGAGAATGTCAAGGCCTCGCCCGATCTCTGTTCAAGGATCCTGGCGCCCTTCTCTACCTCCCCCTTGCCGGAAGCCTTGGTGGGTAAGGCCTCCTTAGCAACTGCGACTCTAGACGCAGCTTGCCGCGAGGCCGGTGCTCAGTTGCAATACGCCGTCTCCGCGTCAGCATCTTCTGCAAAAAGATCTACTCCGCCCCCGCGGACCTCTTACTCTGCTGCCTTAGCCCGAGTCAAGGACTCACTCGGTGGTATTCCGTTCATCCCCGGCCAACGCCTACTTGATGCGATTTGCCGGGGCGGCCTTGCCATCTATGTCGATTTTAACTCGACTCTAGTCTCGAACTTGTCATCGGCGGCTGGCACGACCAACCGTGAAGCTGAATTAGCTCTCTCTATATCTGGTGATCCAGTTCTGATTCAGGCCGGCATGGGTCTCGGTGGTTCGCCTTCGTCTAACGACGAGAGAAGCAGATACTGGGCCGATCGCTTCGTTCGCGCCTACTTTCTTTGGTCGTACGCGGTTCTAACCGTCCAGGAGCATAAGAGCATCGGTGGCGTCGACAGCAGCTCCATCTCCGACCAGTTGCCTGGCCCGCCAACTGTGGACATCGCGAGTTCCCCGACTCCAGCACGCCTCGGGCTGCATCACTTCATGCACTACTTTGGGGTCATCATAACAACTGCCATCGAGTATGACTGGAAGGTGGCTATAGAATCTGACCGGCGTTTCAGGGTGAGATTAGATGGCCTCGTACGTAGTGGACAACGGCTCTTCACCGATCTACTGATCGACCCCCTCCTCTACGGCCCCATTGTTATGGAGGCTGCCGCCGCTGTTAGATTAGAGTCGTTGAGGAGAACATCCAACCCTCAGAATACACGTGGTCGTCGTCGTCAAAGACCAGATGTTGCCGATGGTTCTCCTCATTCGAGCAGCAGGCCGAAATTCCCGAGGGGTGGCTCTAACGGCCCACCTACTCGTCCAACCGGTAAGGGCAAGGGACAACCCCACAGTATCTCTAGAAAGCTGCCCGATGGGACAGGAGGCAACAGCCTCACCAGTTAAGTGATGCCTTTTTCTTTCTCCATTTGTACTTGCAGGCTACAGATGTAGCTTGGCTTCTGAACCTTTTAGACTGGGTACCCAGTCAATGTGATAAGTGGTCAGCGTTCTATGTTTCCGCCTCCAGCGACTCGGTGTGCCGCGTTCTTCTTCCCTCGCTCTAGGTCTTGCAGGCCGCAAGTCGTGGCCACTGTGTACCTGTCCCGTCTCGTTTAGAAATTTTGTTAGTTTCTTTTCGAGTGATGCCCGGGAAGCGATCTGCCGAAGCACTCTCTGCTCGCCGTAAAACAGGATCGTCCAAGAGGCGTCGTCGCCTGCATGTTGCCTTGGCCGCTGTTAACTGCGTTGCCCAAATCGCCGAGTCGGCGACGAGAACCGATCTGTCAGACGGCGACTCTCTCATCGAGCACCTACGAAGAGTCGGGAAAAGTGCTGTTGCGCTGGTTCGTCCTACCCACGAGATTTTTCAAGACGGTTCCGGTCTCAATGCCACCTTGCCCGATCTGGAAGTTGGCCGCGTGGAGTGGTTCCACAATCCCTGTTGCCCCGTTCTGCGTATCTTCTCCCAGTGCATCGTTGCCTTCGACCTCCATGGTATGTTACGCGAAGTGATCGCCAATAACGGCACGCCCAGCGATTCCACAGCCTTGGGAGAAAGGTTTACCATCGCCAGTGACATGTGCCGAGAAGCACTCTGCAAATATTTGAATGTGGATAACAACAAGGCTAATTGCGCCGACTACTACGCCAGTCTGTTCATCGCTCTCCTCAAGTTTACCAATGATGAAGACGAGCCTTTACCACAATGCCTAGCTAACCCGAACGGTTTGCCGTGTGGTATAACTCTACCGGTCCCCAAAGCTGGTAATCTACCTGAGTTCACCCCCGACGTCGCCAAGATCGCAAGTGCTGAACCCCCAGAATGCGTCAAAGGTTTCGAGAATCACTACGCCTCAGCCGAAGTTAGTATGAACCTACTTTATGAGAAGGTCCGTCGCGACATCGCAAGCGGCCTGATGGTAGAGGTCGACGGGGACGACCTCGAAGATCTGACCTTCGTCAAATGCGCTCTGATCGCTAAGACTCAGTCCAAGATAAATGTGTCGGATCCCCTGGCTGGTCTGCGGGTCGTCGAGGACTACAAAGCGAATGGAGTCAACCGTCGTGGTATCACTCACGGCCTGATCAAGGAGACTATTACTCTCCCTACCATCATCGACATCATCTCGGCATTGGACGCCGTCACTTGTCACCCCAAACATCAAAACATTCCTTGGTGTTTCGCCCAACTGGACTATGTAGCTGCTTAGAGGCAGCTCCCCTGCAGTGCCATCGAGTCGAAGTTCCTAGCTGTGAAGGTTAAAAAGCCGAACGGCGAGCAATTGGTCGCGTTAGTAACGCGGCGTTACACAAGAGGCTCCCATTCGGCCTGCGGGTATCAGGTCTCTGGTGGTGCAGAATAAGCTCGGCCCACCTCAGAATTTACAGAAGCCTAACCAAGAAGTACGTCTCTATTCCTACCTGCTATGTTGACGGCGTCTGCCTTCTCGTTCCTGCGGCCTTGGCACCTTTTCTAACGGCAGTATACGCCTTGATTATCAAGTCCCTCGGCTTTGAGGTTGCCTGGCACAAACTTACTATGGCTTCAAGTGATCCCACCGTTCTGGGGTTCACCTTCCATGTCGACAAGTCCCCAACGACTCAGGCACCTGCCGGGTGCGCTGCGAACACAAGCTGATCCGTGTAGCATGCAGGCTACATCAGTCGCTAGTTGGATCAAGTTTCAGTGTTTTTCTTATATATTCCGGTTGCGTTGCCAGTCTCGTCTGTCAAAGTCTCGATCTTTCCCCCCGATCGGTGGTTATTCTTTTCCTTTCCTCTCTTTTGTAGTGTACTTTTCCTTTCGTCGCTACCACTCCCTCTTCATGGCACGAGTGTCAGTCCCGTCCAAGAAGGTTTCCGTCATCCACGATGACATCGACTCCGTCCTAACCTCTGGTCGCCTCTCCTTGAGAACTGCCAGGCGGCTGACTGGACGCCTCCTCTGGTTCAGCCAGCTGACGTGGTTCCTCAGGTCGTATTTGGGCTCCTTATACAGCGCCATCCGTCACATGGAGCTCTCTGGGCGAAGGTCAGTCACGATCGGGAAAACGATACGAGCCGATTTGTCCTCATGGAAGCTGCGAATCGCAAGTTTATCTTATGAAATTCTCGACCTATCGGCAGGGTCCGTCTACGTCAGTGCCTCCGACATATGCCCTTGACTGCACAAGTCGCAGAAGTGACGGATAACATGAGAAAGATCCAAGATGACCGAAAAGAATAATTCAACTCGGGTTCATCTGGCCCCGTTCACCGTATCGTTCGGGAAGGGCCATTCAGCAGCTCTCAATGAACCTGCGAAGAACGTGAAACGATTGAAATTTCGAGAGAAGATCACGACTGATTACCTGCGAAACTATCCGAGGGCATCTCGCACATGGAAACTAAAGCCTCAGATGAAAAGGTCTGTTACCTGCTTGAGGATCAAAATGAGATCTACAACTGACACGTCAAGGTTTACAAAGAAAAGCCCCTGTTCTTAGACTCTCTTCAACAGTCGCAACAATACATGTAAAATCCTTGGGGGGTCGGACAACATCTGCAGCTCGGCAGCGGGCACTTTTGGGGGCATCCAGAAGCCATCAACGGACCCGGCAGGACTACAGGGTCGGTGGATAAGGACTCATCCTTTAGGGCTGAGAACTGCACAAGGCAGTATACGAAGAAGAAGATCGTGGAAAAAGAGCGCATGTAGATTGAGAGATCAACGCTGAATGTGTGAGCAGTCGAGCACATCTGGTAAGTTCGCCAGGTGCCTGACATTAACGGGTACATCATGTGCATGTGACGCCGTGGCGGCGTCACTGTCCTAGCGGGACATTGTCACTGTCCTCGGGAATCCACGGAGAACGAGGTGAGGAACGATTCGTAGTTCAAGAAGCCGTGCAAGTTACTGTGCGGCACAGCATCTACGAGAATAAAGTTTATGCGACAATGTCTTCATGTCATAAAGAATGAGTGAAGCTTTCCCCACTGGGGAATCCCCAGAGACTCTCTGGCAGAGAGCAAGTTTACGGATAGCTGACGCCGTCAGCCTGACGGCCCGTAAGCTACCCGTGTTGTGTAACTCGACACTTGTAGCCGATGTGATGTGAAAGAAAGAATACTTCTTGGGCGATTGGCCTGGTATTAGCTACGGAAAAATCGATCAATTCACGTGTGCAGGCCAACTTGCACACAGCCTTGTGCGTCACCTTCACGCACCAATCACAGCAACCTGACGATGTGGTCATCTTTCCCAGATGACTCAGCGAAAGAAAATTGATCTGCGACAGAAATAGCTGATAATAATATCAGATAACCATGCCACCTATGAATGTAAAAAGGCATGCATAGAGAGCATGAAAAGACATGGTCTCCGAGACAGTAATGTACACGGTACTCGTGACACAATGCAGCGAGGCTAGCAAAATGGGAAATCTGAGGCCCGAACACTTAGGGTCGCAGATCACCGTCAGTGACGGGTCATAACGACCCGGGCGTTCAATAGATGGGGTCCGAAACTGGAAACTGGGGCCTATCCCACAAGAAACGCTCCTGAAGGTGCACCTTGAATTT